ATTTAATACAATAACCTGAACTAACCTTTTCATGAAGGCTGGCATAGAAATGGCTGTTTCAGAGCTGACCTGGAGGCAATCTACCTGGAGAAGTGCCGTAGCTTCAGAGTGCAAAGCTGAAATTAGAAATTAGGAATAATTTCAGCATGCGCTGAAATTAGAAACACCATCAGCTAATGCCAGATTTAAGCTTTTAAAATTGCCAGACTGACTTTATTACGTGTTGCTTCTCTTTTATATTTCTCTCTGCCATTGCACAGAAAGCAGAAGTTAAAGAAAAGCCAAACTAAGTACATAAACTTCTGAACACGACTTGATCTGTTCGCATCAGAGCAAGAATCACTTTTGTGGTTACTTTTGTGAGGGTAGTAAGGATCAGATGACTTTCCAAATGGTAGCAAAGCAGCCAAAATCACCTCTAACCTAGTGAAGTGGACTATGAAAACATTACGTAAGTGGCCTCAAGCATAACAGGGAGAGGGATGATAGGAGGGAAGTTCAAACAAGGAGTGATACTAGCAGTAAAAAAAGAAATCCAAAGCAGACATTCAGCACAAGGTCAGGCAATCAGAATGTTGCAGGCTTGAAAAGGAAGCGAAATTATAGGCTCTGGCAAAACAGCTCGAGTGCTTATTCGGGAAGATTACAAAACCGTAGCGATCCTTACCAGCAGCAGTGTCCAGCATGCAGAGCAACTGTCGAAACAAGTCATAAAGGCAAGCTGGAGGAAGGACATCACCTTCTTCCCCCAATTGGTCAGTGGTTTTTGTTTAAGAAATAGTTCTGCTCAAATCTGGGGCAATTTGTAATCTCTAAAGAAGAGCTCAAAAGCCTGGAAATCCCAAGCCAAGCACGGAAATCTATTCACCAATCTATACGTGGCAAATTTTGCTCTCGTAAAAGCCTTAGGACACTAGAAGCAAAGTTAAAATAGGAACAGAAATTAGTTTTATGCTGAATACTAGATAGGACATATGAGTTAAAGAAAATGAGAGTCTTCTCCCTAACATACGTCTCTAGCTCTAAGAGTTTATTTGTAGGGGAGCAGCAGGAGCAGGCTTGGAGTGTATGACATATGATTTCTCAAAGAGATTTCTCAATATCTCTTTGAGATATCTTGAAGAGATATGATTTCTCAAAGAAAACCATTAGAGGTGGGACTATGCATTTTCTGCAGATTTATTGAATATTATTTTGGTAGTATTAGAGGCCTCACGACTGGGAATTGTTTCCTTACTAGTAACAACAATGAACAATTTGAAAAAGATGCAGATTTCTGCACCCTGTGAGAAGAGCCCTACGGATAAGCTCCGGCAGCATCTGCAGCACCGTATTCCCCATCCCCAGGAACGCGAGGCACAGAGAGGAGGAATCGGGAAAGCCGTTCGGCCACGTGCACCCGTTGCAAAACCCGCAGCACTGACATCAACCGCTCTTTCTGCAACCGTGTTCATCACCTTTGTCATCGGCTAAGAGCCTCACAACAGAAACCACATGCAGGGTTTTTAAATGCACAGACCAGGAGGAGCTCTTGGCCCCACGAGGGTCACGTTGTCACCCACCTACAGGCAGGGCTGCCTGCCCACGGGAGGCACTGGGTAGGGAAAGCAGCCAGAGCCGGGATACACACAGCCTCAGGCCCACATCCTGCTCCTCAGAGCTGAGCCCCACTGCTTTTTCTTTAGGAAGACAGGGGAATTTTGAGGCAAATAAAGCCACTGTCCAAGGGAAAAGTGAGGGAAATTGCTGAATGTTGTGGGTTCCTTCCAGCTGTCCGAAATTTCTGCAAAGGTTAGCTGAAGAAGGTAGTCTGAGCTTTGAGTTCGCTGCCCAGCTAGGAGCATTTCTGTGATTTCTGCGGTCGGTTGTTTGCAGAACTCCAGGTGCTCTTTGTTAGCACAGCGAGCAGGCCAGACGCTGCATACAGCTCATGTGAATTCAATTATTATTGTGTCTAGCATAGTGACAGCTTTAAGTGACGTTTTGCTAGAGAGAGCAGCCAATCTGATCTCTTTGCTTTTACTCTGAGCACCAGAGCTTTCAGAAAACAAGGCCGCCAAACCAGTGAAACAGGATGAACACACGGAAAGCCGGGCAATGGATGAGCAGGAGAGATAAAACAGTAACGTCCTCAACATGCACGTTATTTACACCAGTGATCCCCGTGAGGAAAGTTGACAACAGCAATATGCAAAGAAGAGGAAAATAAAAAGAAGGACCCCATTTCCAGCGAGGCTGCTACCTCTGGCAGACAGAGATTTATCACATGCAGCTGCCCAAAGCTGTTTACAAGACACAAAAGCCACGAAAACAGGGTTGACTGAGGCTGCATGTGAGCCGTTTTCCCTGGCACGGACACCCCGTCCCACTTAGGTCACTTACGCTCTGCTCCTCGGCCACGTGGTCGCGAGCTGAGCGCGGCAGCGCTTGCTTTCCGCTCGCTCCGGTCCGCACTTCCAGGCAGAGGTCTGGTTCTGCCACAGCTGCTTCGCAATCAGGTCCACCCTGCAGCAAGAACAGAGCTGCTCTTGTTGCCTCATTGTTTCTTTCTACTATATTTTTTTCCCTATTCCACAGCCAAATCCGTTCCCAGAAATAAACTTTCCTTTTGTTCTCACAGGGATGAGTGGCTGGAGCATGAAGCTCGATTCATTAGTTACTAGGACTACTTCTCAGGTTAGGTCCTGGCTCCACCGCTGTCCTACATCTAACCTCGATAATTGTACCCGGAGTTACTTCAAGTTTCTGCTCTGGAAGGAGAGATTGGGGCAAACTTCAATAGCCTGAATCTATCAGCAGCAGATTACAGGACAGCAGAAACTCACTTTCGATATTATTTTAGTAGTACTTCAATATGAATCACTTCCTCCAAGTTAAACAACACCTGAGGGCAGGGAAAAGCCTTCTCCTCTGTGCGCCAGGTGCTGCTCAGCCTAGGTTTGACTGGTGACTGGAGCTGAACTTCTAGGTGTAACTTAGTGAGTTATAATTTAAAAAAACACTGGGGCCTCCAGCACGATCGGTCACAGACGACGAGTCCCCAGGACAAGTCAGTCCTGGATGGGAATCTCCGCAGGTGCCGAGTCTGGTGCTCAGTGGCACTGACATCACTTTGTGCAGCATACACGAAAACTGTGCCGAGACCACAGCCTGTTACTTTCAATGAAAACTGTTCTGAGTAGGAAGTTTTCTTCCTCATCCTATTCACATTTTCATTACTACAGCTGCTTTAGGGGAATTACAGAGCGGGCAGCTCAGGAAGCCAGGCTTTTTTTTCTCAACTTGCTGACGTTTTTTATTAAGGGCAGAGCAGTGAGGAGTGAGGATCTCAGAGCAGCCTTTAATGTTCACATTCCCCCACCTCTCTACCCTCACGCTTTCAAAACCTGCTTTCAAAAACAGGAAAAAGTAAAATGGCTCAGATCAAACAAATCAAGTATTTCCTTGAGGTTGTTTTTCCTTGGCCAGCACTTGATACATAGGCATAAGGAGCGTTCTAATAAAAATCTTTCTGTCTTACATGTGGACAGGGGACAGGAAAGCAAAGGCCTTTAGCAAAGAAGGCACCAAACTAGTCTCCCTAGCAGCAGTCTTCGAGAGCAATAACCTATGCCACAAAGGCCATTTTTTTCTTTCCACACAGACCTCACAGCTGCACATAGGAAGACTTCCACTTTGTTTCACAAATAGCCCAAAAGAGCTATTTTAGGCTAATTCCTTTGGGATACCTAAAAGTATCAAGCACAGTGTCTAGACACAGAGAGAAGGCTCTTTATAACTTCTGTGCTTTTCCTTGAGTATAGAGCTCTCCCTTACTATGTCCAAAATTATGTTTCTAAGTTCATTTCTTAACTTTTCTTGTACATAATCCTATACTCACACAGCATGTAAAGATGGCCCTAGATAGCCATATTTTCATCCACAGTGCTTACTATTTGCTTTTCAAAACACTTAAGAAGAGCAGCCACCCAAGAGAAAGCCAAGCACATAGACATAAATATAGCAACCTTCTACTCCTAAGAATAGCCTTAAGTTTGCCAGCTCGGCAGCACAGCCCTCCCGCATGTCCTGGACAACAGGTTTGTTTTTAAGGACTACTAGAACTACTATTTTTTTTCCTCTTCTTCCCCTAGAGGTCTCTTGTTTCACTGGTTATAAGTGTCGGTGACTGACATTTGACTAACAAGATCCAGGCTACAAGACTCCCCCTCTTTGAGGGGCAGGATGCCATTTTGACTCTCTCCTTCAGAAAAGTAACTCCTTTACAGCCACAATGTACCCCAAAACAGCAGGGAAGATTTCAAAGACCTGGTTTCCCACACTCACATTGTCTCCTCTGTGCCTGTCCCCTAGAACTAAAGACCCAGGATCCTCTCACTGATGGTCCAAGATGAGAAATACTGGGGACCCCTTCAAAGTTGTGAGCAGCACAAGTGCCTAGAAGTTGTAGCACAAAGACCTGCAAAGGGAGACAACCCCAACTCTTTGCCTGCCCTCATTTTACCTTTAGAAGAAATAGCCCACAGGCTGTTACATCGCCCACAGCCCAGTATTTCTAGTATAGCCCAATATTTCTAGTAGCCACGGGCTTAAATTCTTAGAGGGGCCCAAAGACATTCCCTCTGAAATTTAATGCAAGTTGACCACATACTTCCCTTTGGCCCCTTGAAAAATTTCAACATAACAGATCACAGGCAGGTACTTCTGGCCCACTTTGCAGCATTCCTTTAAACATCTGGTTAACAACAACTGCTAGTGGAGCTCCCTAAAGCAAACAAAGTCAGATTGAGCTCCAAAAAGCATTTCTCACTTCAGTTTATTTCAAAGGGAAAACTCCGTTTTCTGCAAAGCTCGTATTCAACAAAATACTCTGCGGGCATCCATTTTTAAAGAAAATATTTTATTACATTATGGGAAAAAAAGCATAATCATCCAAGTTCATATTGTTAAAAAATTGAAAATTTATTTTTGACAGCGTGTCGGTATATTCTGTTCCGCATGGGAATGATAAGAAGACTCTATATCATTACTAGATATTGCACAGTCTGAAAGAAACAAAAACAAATCACATGATCTTGGGAACCATCTCACATTATGAAAAACCTACAAAGAAAACATTAAAAAAAAATCCTGTTTTTCTACAGTAGCTTTAAGTTTATAATTCTTGGAATGACCATATTCCACTGAAGACCATCTCAGTGACAGGAAGCTTCATTTCAGCAATCCTTTGTGCAAATAAGATTAATAAAAAAAAAATAATAATGCAGATAAGTCTTTTGATATCGTGTGGGTGGCAATAACCACACAGCTGTTAGATCCCTGCCTGGAAAAACAAAACGAGGAAGGAGAAGGAAGGGGATTTAGGCCATAAGTTTTGCCTGCAGCTCCATCTCTGCCGCTCTTTTGAGTGCAACATCCACCAGTAGCTGAAATCCACTGAAATCCTGGTTAAGGTCTGGTGGGGTTGGAGGAGGAGTGTTAAAGAGCCCACTCTGTGCGTTTGCACCAGGTCCCAGTTTAGATGCATCCTCCTGGTAGGAGAGGGAGTTGTCTGTGAAGCCGTTGGCTGGCGGCTGCTGCGGGTCCGTGGTCTGGCCTCCGTCTGCGGGCTGGCCGAAGTGGAAAGGGGCGTCTTTCAATGCAGTCACCGTCGTGTGGCAAATCACGGACGGTCGGGCCACGACGGATCCCGGGGAAGCAGGTTTAGAAGAGGACACAGTCTTGTTGAGTGCCGCGGCAGCAGGAAGGAAGGAGCTCTCCTCCAGCAGCGGGATGTAGCTCTTGGTGTTCACGGCAGCCTCCACGGCAGCGCCCTCGGAAAGCTTGGTCCCTCTGCGCGAGATAGTGAACTGGTTTGGGTCTTTGCCATCCTTCCTCAGCATGTCAGGTAAAAGCCTGCGGCGGGCATTGATAAACCAGTTGCAGACCTGGGAATACAAGGACATCTTAATTTCCACCTTCATCCATTTCCAACTATGTGCCACAAGCGCCATTCGGCTGCAACAACGAATCCCTCCGAGCAGTTTCCTTAACTGCAGAACAAAAGCGAGACCTCCTGACAAGTTGTGACATGCCCTGCCGAGGCCCTTCCCCTGTCCCTGTTCTGCCCCCCCCCTCCCCGGCTCCCCACTCCTTTACAAAAAGCCCCAGGAAATCTGAAGACTGCAAGCCTGCGCTGAAAGGCTTAGCTTTTAACTCTGTGCACACACATTAACCTGTTAGCTATTGTTCCCTCCACTTAGGTTAATTAACAACAGGAAAAGCTTTTTCTCTCTGAAGAGAGCCACTCCTCCCACAAATAGTTACTGATTTTCCTTGTTCAACTGACTGTGTCGACAGACATAACATGAATTACCTCATTTAAGTTTGTCCTTGTTCAAATATCAAGCCAGTTTCCTGGGCGACACAGGATAGTTTATAGTTTAACGTCGTTTTTGTGTTTACTATATAAAAAAAATTTTCTTCACGACATTGAATTGAAGAAATTTTATTTAAAAGCCAACTATCACGTTTGGAGGATGAGCACTCTACATTTACTATCTCTCAAGCCCAAGTTTACGTAAGTTTTCATGCAGCCACTTTCCCATGAGGTGGAAAGCAGCAATTTTCATCAGCTATTCTACGGAAGACAAAAATGATGCATCCAGGAGGGCCTCCCAGCCCTCAGTGGCAGAGCCCCTGCATGAAAGCAGGGCTCCCAACCACTTAAAAGCCTGATCACACCTACACTAATGTACCTGAATAGCTTTATCCATACAGGCTGTTTCACTGATCTTAATGGCAGTTATCACACACGTAATTACACACATGCACGTTCTACAGAACGAGCCTGAAGTTACAGTTTAAAAGTGAAGAGTTATAAAGATAAGCAGTGTATCTGTCACCACAAAAGCTCTGTCAAAAAAAAAGGAAAAAACTTCTCCCAATGATAAACTACTCTATAAATTTTGAAGACATTAAAGCCTTAACGTGCACGTTCAAATTCGTAACTGCCTGTTCCCCCCTCCAAAGGCAGCTTTGTTCCCAATAAGCCAAGATGATTGAGGCCCAGCACACTGGTAGCTAGAGCAGTATTTCTCCTCACAAGAGGTATCAGAAGAAGAGAGTAAGGATAAGAGGAAATGCCACATAAGGTGAAAACATTTAGATCAGACACTAGGCTAATTTGGATACACTGGGATCTGTGAGAAGAGAGCACTTAAAGCAGGAGCCGTCTTGGAGGAGGCTGAATACCTGTAGTGTGGAAAGGTGTGTTTGTCGGGATAGCAGCGCCTTCTCTTGCTCCGAAGGGTAAGCGTTGTATCGATGCTCGTACAGCCAGTCCCGAAGAATCTGCACGGATTCCTTGGGCAGGTTGCCACGTCTCCTCCGTTTACCAGAGCCAGCAGAAGAGGAAAGATCCAGAGGGACATCCATAGTGTCGTCATCCTCCGTTTCGCTGCCTGATATTGCAACTACACCTACAAAAAGAAAAAGGCAAGAGCAATCAGCCTCCTAACCCATTCAATTACTTAGCTTCACATCTTCTGGCTCAGATACTTTATTTTTATTAACCATCTTCACTGCAAATCGGGCTACAGCCTCCAATGCAGTGGCTGTCGTGTAGCATTAAACTTGTCGAGCTGCAGCTTCCCGGCCAGCTGAACAAGAAGTAGCACCACAGATCTGTTCCAAGGGGAATTCTTCTCCATAAACCCTCATTTTCTCGCTCCCCTAGCAACCTTTTATGTACCGCATGTTATCAGATAGCTTCTATCTCATGCCAGTATCCTACAAATGTACTTGCTATGGTATGCATCCAACACGCTCTTCTTCAAGGATAACTGGTCAAAAAGCCAACAGGCAAGAACTTAAAACCCCTATACCCAACTCAAGCGATGGGTTATTTGATTACAGGCTGGTGCCTCCCTCCTGGGAGAGATCACTTGTAGGTTTTATAAGTTAATAGTTCATCTGCATCTACTAATAAAAATTAAATCAAAGAGGAAAAGAAGAAAGGGAAACTTGTGTCTGTCCCTCGCCTCACAGGGATTTTCACTTACTAGGAAAAAAAAAGTGTAGAAAAATCATTATTGCAATCATTAAATTGCAGTTTTAAAGTGTTCTGCTTTGAATATGCCCTGATTATTTTTTCAGCTTCAAGGTTTTCCTATCACATTTCAATCTGCAGAACTACAAGGCTTCTGCTATATTTACTTTAAAGGCTCCAGATTTACAAGTTCACTACACATCTTTTTTTCCCCCTTCAGTACAAAGAAAGGAAGCAATTTTCAAGTTTCATTTGTCCTTTATACACACACACACACACACCATATTACTACTTATCTGAAGCTACGGTATATGAACAAAGTTTAAAAAAGTATATATTATTTTAGAGTCCATAGCTAGGACAACTACAATTCATCTCATTTAGTAGATACACAAACTACAAAAAAAAAAAAAAAAAAANAAAAAAAAAAAAAAAAGACCACTAATATACAAAGAAAAACATACCTTAAATACTTTAACCTCACCCAAAACTTTAAGAATCTTGAAAGCCATATATGAATCTAAATAAAACATATCTTTTACATCAGCCAGTGTAATACGATCTTTGTTTAGATTCAAAATATATTGATTTTTCTGAAGCATTTTCTAGAAACTGTAGAAGGAAAACAACTCCTTCGATCACTTTTTTTTCTGAACTTGCATTTCATTTAGGAGAGAGAAGAGCATGTGAAGGCATTTGTTCACCCGTAACAGCTAGCGAAGTTAAATATTCAAAGTAAAAACTGTGTGGACAGCTGCCTATATTTCAAAAATTCTGCTTTATCTAAGGAAATATTCAAGTCAACCTCAAAATATGGGAAATATAAATATATATATAAAGCTGTGTTTATGTCCGTAAGTTTAGACAAAGAGAAAAAAAAAGAAATTGATATAATTAAAACCATGTGGTAGGTGCAAGTTTTGCTCAATACTTATGGAGGGAGAGTGGACCCTTCCCCACACTTCAAACTGTGGCCAAAGCTGATGCTATGAATTCTTCATACCTCTAATTTAAGGGGGCAGAGGGCCCCAATATCCTTAAATATCGGGATTATATTTAAGACTAGCCTTAATATCCTTAAATTTAAGTTATTCAGACTTCAATGCATAATTTTGGCAAGGAAGCATTCCCAGTAGCCTGGTCAATCTGAAATTTGTCTGGCGTAGTTACTTTAGTAACGTTCATAGTATTGTTTTCCTCTTCTTAATTGCTGACTTATGTAACTAACAGCACGCTGTGAGCGTTACAGCTGAATATACATTTTCCGTGTGATGATTAGCTACATAAATTATCCAGCTATGGAACAGAAACAATAGGATGCTATTTAAATAGCCAACACAAGATAAAAGGCCCAAGTATGCAAGCAGATCCTGAATCCACATAGCAAGTATATCAAGTTTAATAAGATTCTGAGCAAAACGCGCTTTCCTTGTAATAGCTTCAAAGAAACTGCTGGTCCTGCTCGCCATTTAACCTGCAAACCTGCCTTGCACAACAGGTTCCTGGGCCACGAGGAGCACTGCTTGGAACAAAGATCACACCGCTCAGCCAACACGACGGCTCTGCAAAGCAGCTCGTGCCTTTTAAAGTGCATTTAAAAACTAGCTAAAACTAGCTCCAGTTACTCAGACTGTGTTTTCAAAGGCTGCTCTTGTTTGTCAGAAACGAGAAGCGTTGTAGCACTTCACTGGGTTGGGTTTTTTGTTTGTTTTTAAATACAACAGGCAGCAAGGCAGGACCTTGGGAAACAGGGAGAGGCGAGCAGTGAGTGCTGGAAATAAGAGGGAGGAGAAGCCAAAGAAGCTACTCCTGTGGGGAAAGTTAGGTGTCGAGGAGTTTGTAAGCTGCATTTACTGGGCACAACCCAAAGTTTTCCAGACACATCACCACACTTCAAAACAAAGCGAAACCCTCTGAGATCTCACGCACAGCTCAAGAACTCCACTGAAGCCTCTCTGAATTCCACAAGACCGATTTGACAGCAAAACTGGTTTTCAAACTGCTTCTTCCTTCCCCACCTGTAGAAAGAAACTTGACAAAATACTGTCTAGAAGCCAACAGCACAAAGGCTTTGTTTCGCACACAGGCTCTCCTGAGGTACAAGCTGCCGTGTGACTAACTGCAGCCTGGCTCGTCACAGTGAATCAGCGCCGAGCCTGCCCTTTGCCCCGCTCGCTCCGCGTGTCGTATTAATTGACAGAGCAAGTTAGCGACACACAACAGGTTTGGGTTAAGCAGGAAAACGAGGGTGTTACAACTTCTCCTCATTTAAATATAGACGCTCGGCCCTCTGAATGTCTGTGGTGCAGCGCAGACAGAGCAGCAACAGGAAGTCATGGCTAGAAATCTCTCACTACCTCAGCTGATATTTTTTACTAGAGCAGGAGCCACGTTGTGGCTGTCAAGGCTCTGTTTTCATTAAGGCGTTCCTGCCGACTACAGCCCCGCTTTGTTTTTCCCCTCTTGTTAGTAATCAGGCTATTCGCTGCTGGCTTCCTGTTTTAACAGGGCCCAACTGAAAAGGCTCCTGGCTGGGCTCCACAACTGGACCGTTGGCTTGCTGTTATTTACACTCAGAACAGGCTTGGGGACACGCGGAGTCGCTCCAGCTGACCTAGTAACTTATTTCATCTTAAAAGCAGCCTAGTGTCAGGTTACTGTGCGTTTCCTCCTAAACACAGTTGATCTAAACGGAAATACTGCTTTTGCACAACTAAAGCAGCCCAAGTAGAAAGGTTTAAGAAACCACATAAAATCCCAAATTCCCAAGTCTTCAACTCCTGTTGCCTCCACTTAGAAGAGCAGTCCCTGTTTCACTCCACACTACTCACAACCTAAGAACTATATGACCAGCATCCCCTCTTTGCTCATGACTACTCTCCTGGCTTCCCAGCTGAAATCAGGGACAGGACAACAGGGCACTGTGTCACAGCCGAGCACTGCCCGGCTCCTCCTGTAATCCGCACACCAGGCACCTCAGATCACGCACACAATGCTGGGCTCAACAGCCAGCAGTTAACAGCTTGAAACAACCTCAGAAAAGAAAGTACAGCGATGACTACAGTTGATTTCAAAATAAACTGCCGATACTTAGCAAGGTATGCTGAACACTTAAGGGGGAGGACAAAGCATTTCGAGAGAGGCTGGGGTGAGAGTTGAGCAAAAGAGAAACTTAGGCCGGCTATAGGAGAGCCATCCTATTGTGTGGAGGAAGAAAGTCCGAGGAAGCTGCAGAAGCCAAGCGCTGTTCAAAAAAAGACAAAGTACAGCACAAGAAGCAATCCCTGCCCTCTGGAAAGGGAATGGGGAAAAAAGTACCTTAAGAAAAACCTCCCTCCCACACACGCTGTCAAGGTGCTGTTGATTTTCTCAAGCTAGGCGTTTGTGAGCACAGGAAAAGTCCAACTAGCTCCCATCTAAGGCCCCACTGCTGTTGGGACCGACTTGAGCAGGATTCCTCACATGTATGAACTTGAGCACAAGCCTGCGTCTTTGCATGATTGTATTCTAAATCAGTTAATTAACAAGCTGAATACATTCAGTGTGATTGCTATCAGGCTGCTACTATTTGTAAATGAAACTATCCACATAATACTCCTCAGGGGTTTAACGCACACGCTATTAGAAAAAAATATCCAAAATCTAATGTGAATTTAAAAACCACCAACAAAAATGAATTAGTTTAAAATTATTCAAAAGGAACCAAGAGCTACATGGATGCGCATGGGACTTTCCGCAGCAACTTTTCCTTTGAATACACTTCAGAATTTAGGAACCAGCTTGTTTGTTTTCCTCTGCGCTTCACAGCTTGAGCTCTACTGCCTCCAGAGCAGCCAGACTTGGCCGTGCTACACACACACACACAC